TTTTTTTGTAAAGAGTATGTTGTCTGAGATATAACGATTTGATTCGTAACATGTGTTTTTTAATAAAATACGATAAAGCTCAAAAAAAGTATGAAAAAAATTTCTCAGACATGGATTTTGTAGCATTTGGAACAAGTTTTCAAACGGTAAAGACAGATTTTACCTTTCATCACTTCCTTTTAAATTATATCGCATCAAAGTTGGCAAAAAAAATCAATTTCATATTTTACTTCTAACGTCATAGTTTTGGAAAACCCTACAAAATGAGTACCTACAGGGTTTTTGACAACTACCCTAAGTCGAGATATAAAACTTTAAAGTGTTAGGTTTTTAGTCAACAGGATGGCAAATGTCATTGAGCAGTACTGTATATTGAAAATATAAAAGAGTGTTAGTCATATTGAAATATGTAAATAATTATAATCAAAAATGTAAAATATTATTATGTATCTTTAAGAAATTTAAATATTAACATCAACACAATCTATTAATATACTCTCCAATTTATGAAAGTTCAAATTGAACATTTTATAATAGCTTATTAATATAATACACAAAATCTAATTAAAAATAAATTGGAAAATATACAGATTCAAAAGAATTTGGCTAGAACTCATGAACAAAGTAGATTTAGTATGTGTTTAATGTGCGAAAAGAAACCAAAAAGAAAGTATTATAAAATTACGGGTAAAATCGGAAGTAATATAAAAAATTTATTCCCAAATTTCAATGAAAATAATTCATGCTTACTTTTTGTAGTGTGTGATGCCTGTTGGCTAAACATTGCGAGAGCTAATGCAAATGAAAGCTGATTGTGACAATGAATCGGATTGTGAGTGCACTCGATCGGATGTATCGAAATCAGATCTAGACAAGGACATATCGAGAAATTTAACAGTAAAAGAAATACATCGTCAAAACTGTTAGAGAACTAAAAAAGTTGTTCAAAGTTTTTTACTGTGATAGCTAAAGGTGTAAGACATAAGTGCAATTCAACTCCATTACTAGAAAATATTAATAAAAGAATTGAAAAGCTAAAACTATCTGAATATTTAACATCTAAATTATCGAAAAGAAAAATAGTCAATGATGAATTGGCAGTCTAATCTAGAAATACAAATGTTGAAGTACCCCTATCGTAACAAATATTATTGTTAATCTAGAACAAAAAAAGTTCATGAAATATCATCGAATGATTTCATTGATTTGAAAACTGATGCGAATTTATCAGATCGACAGCTCCATAAGTTTTCATCATTCATACGTCATAAAACATGCTCTCAAAATATTATATTATAGAACCGCATGCTCGTGAAGCAATCGTTCAAAAATCTCACGACTTGGATATATTTGTAAGAGTTGGTTATGCTGGAGCTCTTGGCGGGAACGTCGTTTGAATCCTGTCTGCTGCCAGCTCCTCGTGCTGGACCCAAGGTCCTCTATGCGCCTTGCGTCCAATGATTCTCGCCGTCGAGCGAAGATTGATGAAAGGTCGAGAAGTAGGGAAAGAATGCGCCGTATCTTGTGAAATCACTTTATTCACACCTTAGCTTACACTACTTAAGACACTAGATTTACAGCACTTGACGAGCGCGACATTTGTTGCGAACGGCCACAGCTGTGGGCACAGAAGAGCGCGGAGGCAAGGCAATAGCTCGAGGCACAATGCCTTGCCGGTGAGCGCACTGAAGGAGAAGACGAAGAACAGCTGTTCACGTCTAGGGCGCTGAGCGGTAACTGACTGTGATGCTCCCAGTCCGCTCGCGGAACGAGCGCTTGCTTGCGCGGATGGCGGCGAGACTGGGGAGTGCTGCCTTCTGGCGGCACAAGGCGTCCGGTCGGTGAGGACGCTACAGCCACTCCCCCCCTGGAGGTTGCCTGGTCTGAGGGCGACCCTTGTTGTGATTGTGAGCGGGTTGGAGGTTCCGTAGGCGCGAAATGGACGCGCTTGGTTGGTGCGGCTGCTGGCTGCGGTAGATCATCCGCTGTGTAGCCTGCTACTAGAAGTGAAGTGGAGACCGTTGCTGGTCTGCCGTCCACGTCGATGGTGTACCTGGAGTCGTCGAGTCTCTTGATGACTCTGTGAGGACCTGTGTAAGAAGGGGAGAGTGGTGGCTGGATTGGGGCCACGCGTTTGAAGACATGAGAACAGGTTCGAAGATCCTGGTGCATGAAGACTCTGGTCTTGATGTGGTGTGCGGTGGGCGTAGGCTGCACTGCACGGAAGTGTTCACGTAAAGCGTCGAGAAAAGAGCTGTGGGAGATTGGCCGGTCGTCTTTGACGAAGAATCCTCCTGGCACTCTTAGTGAGGTACCGAAGAGGAGGTCCGAAGGCGAGGCTCCGAGGTCCGTCTTGAAGGCTGTGCGTAGACCCAGTAGAACGGTTGGGAGGATGTCCAACCAAGGCGCTGTGGAGTGACAGGTCAGCGCTGCTTTTAGCGTGCGATGCCACCTTTCTACCATTCCGTTTGCTTGGGGGTGGTAGGGTGTTGTCCTGATGCGGGAAGAACCTAAAAGTTGAGCTAATGCTGAGAAGAGGGCAGACTCAAACTGCGGACCCTGATCGGTTGTGATTGTAAGTGGAGTACCGAAAATGGCGATCCAATCTCTGTAAAAGGCTGCTGCAATTGTCTCCGCGGATGTGTCCTTCAGCGGAATTGCGTGTGGCCAACGAGAGAAACGGTCTATGATGGTTAAACAATATCTGTGTTCTCTTACCAGCGGCATGGTGATAATGTCGAGGTGGAGGTGACTGAAGCGCGCCTCGGGTACCTCGATGTGGTTTGGTTGGTTCCGTGTGTGACGGTGAATTTTGGAGCGTTGACAAGGAATGCACTCCCGTGCCCAGCGCAGGGTGTCTTTCTTCATGCCTGGCCAGACAAAGCGTTCCTTGATTTGTCTGCAGGTTTCTCGGCCGCTTGGATGCGAAGGAGCGTGGACAACGTCGAAGGCTAACTTGCGCAGAGAGAGAGGCAAGTATGGGCGGACAGTGCCCGTTGCGACGTCACAGAGAACGCTGTTCCCTTCGATGTTCAGCGACTGGAGCTTCAGAGAAGTTGAATCTGCTTCGGAAATAGCGGCTTCTGGGTCTGCCTGAGCCTCAGAGATTGTTTTGGCGTCGAGCTTCGTGGGCATAGTGATGGTGCAGATGCGCGAAAGGGCGTCTGCGACACAGTTTTCATTGCCTGGAATGTGTATGATGTTAGTGCTGAACTGGCCGATGAAATCCAAGTGATGCAGCTGGCGTGGAGAAGCTTTTTCGGGCCGTTGTTGAAAGGCCTTGATGAGAGGTTTGTGGTCTGTGCAGATTGTGAGGTTTCTTCCTTCGACTATGTGAGCGAAGTGTTTGAGTGACGCGAAGATAGCTAGCAGTTCGCGATCGTAAGGGCTGTACTTCTGTTCCGCTGGCGAGAACTTTCTGGAGAAGAAGCCGAGTGGGGCGGGTTTCCCGTTGACGAGCTGCTCTAGTGAGGCGCCGAGGGCTGAAGAAGAAGCGTCGGTGATGAGGAATAACTGGGCTTCCGGGTCTAGGAAGCTTGATGAGGTGGCGTTTGCTAAGGCGGACTTTGTGGCCTCAAAAGCCTCCTCAAGCTGGGGGGTCCAAGAGATGGGACGCCTGTCCTTTTTCTTGGCATTTTGAAGTTGGTCGTTTAGTAGGGCTTGATGCTGGGCTGCGTGCTTCATGTGATGGCGGAAATAGTTTATGGCGCCGAGAAAGCGCTTGAGTTGATGCACTGTGTGCGGCTTGGGGTAGTTGATGATTGTGTCGACTTTGGCTGCAGGCGGCTTGAAACCATCAGCGTTGACTGTAAACCCTAGGAAGGAGACTTCCTTCTTAGCAAAGGTGCATTTGAGCCAATTTATACGGAGCTTGCTGGAGAGCAGAGCGTCGAAGACTGCGCGAAGGTGCTTGAGGTGCTCTTCATAGTTGGAGGAAGCGATTAGCAGGTCGTCTAGATAGACGGCAACGAAGTCCATATGTCCCAGGATGCTGTGCATGTAGCGTTGGAACGTTTGAGAGGCATTCTTGAGCCCGAGGGGCATTCCTAAGAATTCAAATAATCCAAAAGGCGTAGTGACTGCGGTTTTAGGCACGTCCTCCTCTGCGACTGGGATCTGGAAGTATGCCCGTTTTAGATCGATGGTCGAGAAGATGCGTTTACCGTGGAGTTGCAGTAGTAAGTCGATGATGCGAGGTATCGAGTACCGGTCTGGCAGAGTCTGCGCGTTGAGGTTTCGGTAGTCGCCTGTTACTCGAAACTTGGAGTGGGTGGCTTTGACGATGTGCAGCGGGCTGGCGTAAGGGCTTTTGGAGGGCCTTACAATTCCGAGCTGTTGCAGCTGAGTGAGTTCGGACTTAGCGGCCTTGAGCTTTTCTCCTAGAAGCCGGCGTGGTCTGAAGAAGACTGGCGGTCCCAGCGTTACTATGTGGTGCCTGATTGCGGCCGTAGGGCCTGGGTTGAGGCTGTCGGTGGCCTCGAAGCGGTTGCTAAGCTGCTCGACGAGTGCCAGAACAGCTTTCTCGTGCGCAGCAGAGGCCAAGGACTGAGAAGAAAGTAAAGAGATAGAATGGACGGGAGATTTCTTGATTTCACCTGGGATAGAGCGTAGCGAGGACTCGTCGATGAGACGCCGACGCTTGAGGTCCGGCAGGAGACCGTAGAAGGCGAGGAAGTCAGCGCCTAAGATGGGCGTTTTGACTTCGGCTACGATGAAAGACCAAGCGAGCTTGCGATCTAGTCCCAAGTCAATTTGAGCTGTGTGACGTCCATAGGTTTGGATGGAAGATCCGTTAGCGGCAGCGAGTGTCGGTCCGACATACGGCAGGAGAGAAGAGTAGGTTGAATGAGGCAGCGTCGAAACGACGGATCCGCTGTCGACCAGAAAGCGCGTGCCAGAGGAAAGGTCCATCACATGGAGACGATTCTCTGACCAGGAGTTGGCGCTTGAAGGATGAGCGGAGCTGAGGCTGCTGCAGGGTGCTCGGTCGAGCAGCAGCGTTAGCCGTTTAAATTACTCTGTGGAGGCTGGCGCTGATGCGGATTGGTGCTAAGCCAAGCGCATGGCAGACTGCACCTGGAGGCGGCAGCGCCGAACCTGTTGTGGTAGTAGCAGATGCCGTTAGCGTGAGGCCTGGGTCTGGACTGCGAACGACTTCTACGCTGGGCGGAAGTGTTGTGCTGAGCGGTTCCAGTAGGAGAGCTGGGCGGGCTGCTTACTCTGATGAGGATTTCACGAGACACTGAAATTAGTTCGGAAAGTAAAGTTCTTATTTCTGAGAAGTCCGGCGCGCGATGATGCGTTGCTAGGATAGACGGGGCGTCGATACTGAGGGTAGCTGGCGACGTGTTGGAGTCCAAAATTGCATCGGCTGCGTCAAGGAGTTCTTGCAGAGTGCATTTAGCTTTGAAGATTTTTAAAGTGTTGCGGGCATGTTGCGGCAGCAAAGTGAGCCATCTGGTTTTGAGTAGGTCTTCTGTAGCGTTGTTTCCGGCTAGCTCGGCCATTTGTCTGTAAAGTTGTGAAGGTTTTTTGTCACCGAGTTGCATGCAGGTGAGCATTTGCTCCAGCTGTTTCTCGGCAGAGTCCGCGAGGCGTTCGAGGATTCGCGATTTGAGAGCCTCGTATTTGTTTTGAGCGGGAGGGTTGCGAATGATGTCAGCTACTTCGTCAAGGGCGACATGGTCTAGGGCTCTTATAACAAGGTTGAATTTTGAGTCGTCGCTCTTGATACGACCGACGTTGAAGTCTGCTTCGACTTTATAAAACCAAAGCTTGGCTCTCCCTGGCCAAAAATCAGGAAGCCGGCACTTGGTGACTGATGCGACGTCTTCGTCTGCTGCTGACATCTTGTCGACGTCGTCGAATTTTAAGGTGCGAGCTGGTGGAGCAAGTTGCGGGTGAAGTGAATGGCGAAGCGGGAGATTATTTCGGGGAATTGACGGATTAGGCGTGCATTCGAGTGAGCTGTTCGAAAAATTATTATGCTCTTCAGTTAAAGTTGAGTTAAGGTCGACCGAATGATCCCAGCGAGGCGTGTCAACAAACGTTTGTTGTCTCGAGTTTGATGCTTCCTGCTCAAGGCCAGGGCTTGGAATGTCGTTATTGATATTTGACATTCGCGGTGGTTACAAGAGCTGTTATGGCTTAGCGTTGTGCTGAGGAATTCCAGCACTGGAATGTTTTGTTTTGAATGACTAACCTTGCAGGTGAGCGAGGAAACGCTGGGTCGGAATGCGCCACGAGAATCGCACGACTCTTGCGAATTAATTAATGCTCGGGGTCACCAGTGTAAGAGTTGGTTATGCTGGAGCTCTTGACGGGAACGTCGTTTGAATCCTGTCTGCTGCCAGCTCCTCGTGCTGGACCCAAGGTCCTCTATGCGCCTTGCGTCCAATGATTCTCGCCGTCGAGCGAAGATTGATGAAAGGTCGAGAAGTAGGGAAAGAATGCGCCGTATCTTGTGAAATCACTTTATTCACACCTTAGCTTACACTACTTAAGACACTAGATTTACAGCACTTGACGAGCGCGACATTTGTTGCGAACGGCCACAGCTGTGGGCACAGAAGAGCGCGGAGGCAAGGCAATAGCTCGAGGCACAATGCCTTGCCGGTGAGCGCACTGAAGGAGAAGACGAAGAACAGCTGTTCACGTCTAGGGCGCTGAGCGGTAACTGACTGTGATGCTCCCAGTCCGCTCGCGGAACGAGCGCTTGCTTGCGCGGATGGCGGCGAGACTGGGGAGTGCTGCCTTCTGGCGGCACAAGGCGTCCGGTCGGTGAGGACGCTACATATTTTTGAATTTGATTATATTTATTTGATTTTGAAATTATACAAAATAATATAGTAAAAAAAGTGCTAAGCTATGCTGTTGTCTGTAGCAACTTAATGTAATGTGTAAAAAAAATAATAGAAAGTCGCAACATTTTTGATTTTCATTTAAATATTGGTATTGATGATGGCAGCGGTTCCACAAAATAAACTTTATTATTGCCATTAAAAACAAAAGATAGTATTCATGAAAAAAATAAAAAAATTCTGTAAAGTAAAAGGTGTAACGGGGTGGGTATGCCGTTTAATAAATTTATCCGCGTAATCGTATCGAAGAGCGCACGTAATTACCTATGTTAACCCATTAACGCCTGAACGGACGCTCGACGGACGCTTTTTTGAGCGACAGGTTTTATCTGTTCATATGTATGAAAAAAATTTGGGAAAAACATTTTCTTATGTTAAATTTCATCAGCTTTCCGATCTTGTCATTTGTTTTTCGATTAAACGAAATCCCTAATCGTTATAAACAATTTATTGAAAAAAAACATGAAATTTCGAGTCAAATTTTTTTTCGTGTCGCCTGAAAAACATGGAAATCGTTCGCAACGAACCCCGGAAAGTGAATTTCCAGCGTCCATGATGTTTGAAATAAAAGTTGACATGGTTGTATTTGTTTAAATAATTTTTGGAATATCCAAAATGGCGGCTGGAAGAAAAAATTCTGACTTCAAACTTGCCGAATTTTTTTCTCAAAATCTATCGATTAAATCAGAAAATTCTTAGAAACAAAAAAGTCTTAAAATCGCTCAAAGAACACGACTAAATTTTTTCAGAATTTTTTTGGAAATTTTTCGAAATTTTATTTTTTTAAATTTAAAAAAAAAACAAAAATTGATTTAAAAATTCTGAAAAAATTTGAGCGTGTTCTTTGAGCGATTTCAAAACTTTTTTGTTCCTGCGAATTTTTTTATTTAATCAATAGTTTTCGAGAAAAAAAAAATTATTTTACAAAATCTTTTTTTGTACGTTTCTTAGCCGGCAAAAGTATGGCCGTTGTCCGACTCTACCCCGAGGAGGTGAACGTTAATCAGAGTCATTTTGTTTTTTTTTCGTTTTTTTTGTTTTTTTTTCGTTCTTTTGTTTTTTTGTTTCGTTTTTTTGTACTTTGTTTGTTTGTTGTTTTTAATTAAAAAAAATTTTTTTTTAAATAACATTTTTAGTTATAAAAACTACATTAAACATTTACTTATGAAAAATAGGAAAACACTTAGAACAAGAGTATACATTACACGTTACACACATTTTTTGAGTTCTTGTACCGCAATTTTTTATGTTTTCACAGTTTCTCTTACTATCAGCAACAATACTTTCATGAATTTTTGCTTTGGCAAGGTAGTTTGCTGCAAGTTCCAAGGAAATCTCTTTAGTTCCTTTCTTAGTGTTATGTAATAAATTATATAATATTGTTGCGTTTGTTATCGATGATTGTATAAAACGGCATAGCATTACCCATGTCCACTTTTTAGCTCTAATACCTGGAAGCAAATTGCTGCAGTGTGCATCGTGAAGATCAACTCCACCCATGTTTCGATTATACAAAGAAAATGCCATTGGAAACGATATGTTAGTTTTATTGTGATTTTTTTTTGAGTAACGACTGATTGATTGTAAGGGAGTAACACCTGCAGCTGTCGAAATAATGGAAACGGGCTTAGAGTCCATAATAGTTATAAAGTTCATACCAGAATTTTTTTCGTATTTGACAATGTAAGTACCACGTTCAGCTTTTTTCTCTAAATTATTTTTTTCTTTGATTCTGTCCGCTCTTACGGTGCCCGTCGCCATCAAGCCCAATTTCTTCAGATGAACCAGGAGATCGGGATTACTAAAATAATTATCGAAGTAAAGATGATAATCAACTATTTTTTTTAGGCCGACCGAAGTAAGAAGTTTTTTAATCATAAGCATTACTACACGACTACCTATTGAACACTTACCCAATTTCATTTTGCCATCCGCAGAAAAAATGTTGGAGCCCTGTCCACAATATATGTCACAGTCAAATAAGAAACCTTCAACGCTACAGATACCCCACATTTTTATCCCAAACCTTTCGGGTTTGTTGGGCATGAATTGTAGAGCAGGTGCCCTCCCATGGAATTTCACCATCATCTCATCAATACTCAATGCTGTGCAAAAAAAACCAAACTGAGCTATGTTTTTTCGAAAAATCTCCAAAACGTTTCTTACTCTCCAAACGTTGTCTTCATTATTAGCATCTTCAAGTTTATTCAGTTTTATATAACGTTTTATTTTTATAAAGTCATCTCTACTTATCGCTGATGCAACTGGTTCACAACGAAGAAGTTGATTAGTGCTCCAATAATCTCTCTCTAATTTTCGACCGTTGACGATAGAAATGATGACTATCCCCAAAAATACTTGTAACACATTCAAAGTTATGTCAAGTCCGTTAGTGCGTGTACTATCCACAATATAAGTTTGCAATTCAAGAGAGAAAAATAATTCAAATAATTGAAGAGCAGACAGTTTTTGCAATTTTGTTCGCGTAGCATCTGAAAGAAGACACTTATTACAAGGCGCATGATACCGTTTTTCACCTATTATCCATTCATAGTCATGATTTGGCTCGAGTTTCTTTTGGTTATCACCATACTCATTGAGAATCTGACTATAACTCTGTTTTGGAACTTGCCCAGCACTATCTACAAAAAAATCCAGCTCTGAATCCGATTCGCTATCTGAACTTCCCGAATCATTAGAAGGTAGAAAAATAGATCGGGATGTTCCATCTTCCAGTTCTTCTATTTCAAACACGTCATCACAATTTTGTTTTGGTCTTTTTGATCTTGATGAAGGTGACATACTTTTGCACTTGATAATGATGATAAAAAATTAATATACTTACCGTTTCAGAAAAAAAAAATTGAATAGAAGATAAACAAAAGTGTTCTACAACAATTACGTATCGCAATAATTATGATTGCAGATTTATGATCTATGCATTTACAATGTTATTCTTTTGCAAATTATTTTAGAAATAAATGAAAAAATTTACCTTATAATATGTAGGGATCTGACATAATGCGGGTGTCACACATTTATTATCGGAAATAAAAATTTTTTCACTCATATGAAAATCATTTCAATTATACTGTTAGAACCAGTGAATCAATAATTATTTCATAACGTATTCATGTTTTTATATTACCTAACGGATAACATATTTTAGGACTCTTGAAATCTAGAAAATTACTTTCCGGGGTTTATTCGAAGGATTTCGCTATTTCACAGTTGACACCAAATAAAGTAATTCAAAATTTATGAAAAATAATTTTTTACTCGAAAACTATTGATTAAATCAAAAAATTCGCAAGAAAAAAAAAGTTAAAATTGCTCAAAGAACACGCTCAAATTTTTTCAGAATTTTTAAATCAATTTTTGTATCTTTTTTAAATTTTAAAAAATAAAATTTCGAAAAGTTTCCAAAAAAATTCTGAAAAAATTTAGTCGTGTTCTTTGAGCGATTTTAAGACTTTTTTGTTCTTAAGAATTTTCTGATTTAATCGATAGATTTCGAGAAAAAAATTCGTCAAGTTTGAAGTCAGAATTTTTTCTTCCAGTCGCCATTTTGGATATTCCAAAAATTATTTAAACAAATACAACCATGTCAACTTTTAGTTCAAACATCATGGACGCTGGAAATTCACTTTCCGGGGTTCGTTGCGAACGATTTCCATGTTTTTCAGGCGACACAAAAAAAAATTTGACTCGAAATTTCATGTTTTTTTTCAATAAATTGTTTATAACGATTAGGGATTTCGTTTCATCGAAAAACAAATGACAGGATCGGAAAGCTGATGAAATTTAACATAAGAAAATGTTTTTCCCAAATTTTTTTCATACCTATAAACAGATAAAACCTGTCGCTCAAAAAAGCGTCCGTCGAGCGTCCGTTCAGGCGTTAATGGGTTAATACGAAAATCGGAGAGCAGGAGGGAACGGGTGTCAGTCAACCAACTATCTACTAATACGAAATAAAGACTTCGAAAGTACTGTTAATATCACATACGAGAACTTTTATTACCTCTTAACATTACATCGTATTCGGCCCGCGTGTTTGTGTTTACATGCCGCGCGCACCACAACAACATGCAGTGTCGGATCGCTCGCCGCTCTTTGTTTACCGAGATGTTACATACACGCTTTCTGTCGAATCGAGAGATTAGTCGTTTAGCAATTCTATCGCGATCGCGAAATTAAGCTGGCCAGCTTACCTTTTTAACAGTCGCACGAAGACCAGGAGAACCAATTCGCACTCC